TTCAATTTTAGAAAATAGAAAATATACAGAACCCATATTTGAAAAGAAAACACTCTTTTCTTCATTTGAGTGACATTGAAGCACAGATTCAAAAAAAAACACTACAAATCACAAAGCAGAATACAAACTTATACAAGTTTTAGTAAAACTGTTGAAAACTAAAGACAATAAAAAAATCTTAAAAACAACCAGATGGTAAAAAGAGAGAAAATGTTGGTAAAAAGAGACTAATAGCTAAAAGAAGCAATATAAGCCAAGAAATTTGTTAAGTTACATTTCTGCATACACTTCTGTAGTAAAGAATAAATGTATCTATGAAAGTATAACTCTATGTCTCAGAAAAAAATCTTTAAAAACAAAATTCAATGACTGTTTTGTTTTAAACAACCAACAGTAACAAATAAATGAATAAATAAAGAGAAACTTGAAATAGATATTTTATATTAAGCAGTTATCCTTAACTATATTAAATATTATAAGGATAGTGTTTATCATTTTTAAAAGAATTCTTAAATGCAAAGAAATACATACTGAATCTCATTGACAATTCATAAATTGATTTAATGTATCTTTTATGAAAACTGATTAATGTAGTTTCTTGGATGGCAAATTATTACAAGATCCTCTTCTTGTTTCTAAGCTTTTGTCTGTTTACTCATTTATTCAACAACAATTATTTGCATGCCTGATATTTACCAAGAATTGTGTTAAACACTAGAGAATAAAATACGAATGTCATAGTTTATTTATTGCTAGGAATTTGGAGATACAAAATGATAAGCAAAAGCTTATGTTACAATATGCATAGTATGAAGAAAATTGATGAGTGTCTTGTAATTAGTGAATAGAAAATTATAATAAATGTATAGCAATTTATCATAACCTTTCATAATAACAATGATTATCACCAAGACTGAAAAGGCAAAAATCTGTGTAATATCTGCATTATTTCAGAAATCATTTGCATTATATCATATATATTAATGTTGGAGTCATCAAAAAATTCCCCTGGACATTTCTATCTCACCCTCTTCTTTGATTCTGGCCAAATGAGCATACAAATGGAGGAAGAAATTTTATATTTGGTAAAATCAGAAAGTAGAGAAATCTGTGAACCACAAACTATAAAAACAGCTGTCAGCCACAATGAGTGTTAGATAAAATTGAGCAGCAAACACACAAAGCCTTCCCAATGAGTTCTCAGAACCCTTAACCAGGGGTCCATAGATTTTGACATAGGAAATTTTGGTAGCATGAAGGCTGTAGGAGGACATGTGACTCTGTGTTACATGATATTACAGCAAGTAAATCGAACTGAATAAAAAAACTTGAGGATAATTTGCATGTATTTGATGCACATTGCTAGCATGTAAGCTTGAAGGAGTGTTGGCAGGTGAGGATTAGATTCCTGTCTGGTAAAAATACTGTAAACATGAGTTATCTTAATCTTAAAGAATTACATACAATAAAAAAACCTTTAAAATATTGGAGTGACTGTGAGCCATAAATAATTCTTATTCTTGATGAAAAGGGAAAGGTGGATCACACACTTCTCTGATCAGTGATCGGCGATAAATTAGCAGGGTGGAAAGGACACTTGAGTGGTGATGCTGATGAGAGTTGGCTCTGTATTAATCACTGTAGATTGCATCTGAATTGAACCACAGAATTCAGAGGCTCAAATAATCACATCAAGATATTCTTTGTTTTTCTCTATGTACAAACATTGCCTTCCTCTGCATTGTCTTTACTCTTAGAATACTTCTAATGGCAATGATGGTACAGATACATTACTGAAAATGTCTCCAAAGACAGCACTTCGTTCCCCAAGATTTCAGTAAATATTCAAACACTGAATCTCATTACTCTATCTTGACAAAGATTGAGTCAATTGCTGTGGTCAATTAGATAGGATCATCTATTTGGTTATATTTGGGTTATTCCTGCTGCTACATGTTAAAATCAGCCTCATCTAAGACTAAAACAGGTTGATTTGCTATAAGAAGGAATATTACTAAAATTTTAAAGCATGACACACTATGCAAGCAAAAAGTAACAATGTACCTTAAGACTTCTTAGAAAAACTTAAGATGATGAAGTTGATTTCATCAGAAAATGAATGAAGAAGCTGTGTTGAAATACCTGGTAATCAGTGTCAAAAATCTAAAAACAGAAAACTATATTAAATTAAGAAATTATGGAAAATATTATTATTGAGAGAACATTTATGTTTTAGATTGTGGTGATGTGGAAATGAAACTATAGCAAAATTGGAACATAAAATTTAGGAGAGATGGGTTAAGGGGAAAATTCGACAAAAATAAAGAAACATAAATTGATTTTAGCATTTTTGACAGGAGGGTGGTTAAAGCTTAAAAATGGGAAGTCAGGTTCACTGTAGATGAAATATGCAGTCTTGTAAAATTAATTACACATTCATCTAAAGAAGTTAGAAAATGCAAAGAAGTGTAAGGAAAGCAGAGATAATTTAATTTTAAAGAGTTGAGATTAATAAATCTAAAACATTAAAGAATATTTGAAAACAAAAAGGTATTTTTTGAAAGAAACTAGATAATTATCTAGTTATACAAGAAAGAATGGAAAGATAAAAATATGCTAGCTTAAAAGTAAAAACTGAAGAATTGTTACATTGGGAAATAAAAGAATTAAAAGAAAATCCTTTGCTAAAACCTATTCATATTAGCCTTAAAATCTGTATAGAACAGAATTGGCAAGCCTCACGTAGAAGAATGAAACTTCTTCGTCTGCCACCTTACACAAAAATCAACTCAAGATGAATTAAAAAGTTAAATCTGAGACCTGAAACCATAAACATTCTAGACATTTGCTTAGGCAAAGATTTCATGACCAATAACCCAAAAGCAAATTCAACAAAAACAGAGACAAATAGATTATACTTAATTAAGCTAAAAAGCTTCTGCACAGCAAAAAATAAATAATAAGGGGACTAAACAACCCACAGAATGGGAGAAAACCTTCACAACCTATGCATTCAACAAGGGACTAGTATCCAGAATCTACAAGTAACTTAAACAAATCAGCAAGAAAATAATAATAATAATAATCACATCAAAAAGTGGACTAAGGACATTAGTAGATTCTCAAAAGAAGATATACAGATGGCCAATAAGCATGTAAAATAAATGTTTGATATCACTAATTACCAGGGAAATGCAAATCAAAACCACAATGCAATACCAGTTTACCCCTGCAAGAATTGCCATAATTAAAACTTTTCCTTTTTAAATTAAAAAGAAAATAGATGTTGTCATGGATGTGATGAAAAGGAAACACTTTTACACTGCTGGGTGAGACATTTGAACATGTATGTTTATAGCAACACAATTTGCAATTGCAAATATATGGAACCAGTCCAATTGCCCATCAAAGAATGAGTGGATAAAGAAAATGTGACTATATATATACACACACACACACACACAAACATCATGAATACTACTCATCCATAAAAAGAAATGAAATCGTGCCATTCACAGCAACCTGGATAGAACTGGATACCATTATTCTAAATGAAATAACTCAGGAATAGGAAACCAAACATCATATGTTCTCACTTATAAATGGGAGCTAAGCTATGAGGATCAAAAGGCATAAGATGGAAACAACGGACTTTAGGGACTTCGGAGAAAGGCTGGGAGGGAGGTGAGGGATAAAAGACTGTACTTTGGGTGCAGTGTACCTGGTTGAGTGATAGGTGCACCAAAATCTCAGTACAACAACCAACTGTGGAAAACAGTGTGGAGATTCCTTAAAGAGCTAAGATTAGATGCACCATTTGATCCAGCAATCTCACTCCTGGGTATTTACCCAAAGGATTATTTCTAAGATCATATCATAGAATCATTTAGATGAATCATAGAATCATTTAGATAGACATATATTTCACTTTACTCAAAGGTGTGCCTATAAGAATGTACACTAAAACATTGTCTGTAATAGCTGAGATCCAGAATCAAGGTATATATTTATCTATAGGGACTTAGTATGTTCAATTATAATTTTGTATGACAGAATCCTGATCAGTGATTAATATATTCATATATGTTGATAAGAACAGATCTCTAAGATTTGGTATTAGCTAAGAAACTTCTAATGTAAAAGTAGTTTTCAAGGGACATATACATCCCCTTTATATCACTCCTATTTGAGTCAACTTGGGTTGCCATAATGACATGGACTGGGTGGCTTAAACAAAATAAGTTTATTTTTTACAATTCTGGAGGCTGAAAGTCTGAGATCAAGGTGCCAGCATAATCAGTTCCTAGTGAGGGCTGCCTTCCTGACTTGCAGACAGAAGACTTCCCTCTTGATATGTTCTCAAATGGCAGAAAAAAAAGCAGGCAAGCTCTCCTGTGTGTTTTATAAAGTCTTTAATCCCAGGGCCCCACCTTTAGGGCCTCATTCAAACCTAATTACCTCCCAAAGGTCCAGTCTCTGTATAATCACATTGGGGGATAAGGCTTCAACATATGAATTTGTGGAGTAATACAATTCAGTCCATAACAGTACCTTATGCATATTACATGTGTATGTATTTGTCCTTTATATGTCTACAATAATTACAGCTACATGTGCATACTTTTGAACTTTCTGAAAAAACACAAGATATCATTTATGGCTATTACTACTAATCGGTATACTGAGATGTGGTGTTTATTAAGTATAAATTTCACTTTTCACTGCATCTTTCTGAAACATTTTAATTTATATTACTTGTGTTTTATTATTATAACAACTGTAAGGAACAAAAAAATATTAAAAAGAGTTACAGTCTCTGTTTGAAATATCATTTAACCTGAGGTGACTGAGACTTAGGAAGAAAATTCATCTTGTACATTCATATTATATTTTATTCAGATAAACATTCTCTGAGAAGACAAAAAGGGACAACACACTATGAGGATTTCTGTAAATATTTAGGATGATATTTTAAATTATATAGAATATTAATACCACTAATAAGCATTTTTATCTAGTTCATTGTATGTGCTAAGTTATTCACTAGATATAAAAAGAGAAGCACTTCAAGATGTGTATCCTCACATAGTTTAGAATACAAAATAATGTTTTGCAGACCAACAGTGGTACAAAGCACAAGTGACGAATCAGTAGACGAAGACTTACACAAAATACTGTACAATTTAACTTTAAACTCTAATACTTCAAATTGTTCAACTTTGTGCTGCATTCTTCACCACAGGCTTGATTTTGCTAACCAGCTTATTTTATTAATTAAATTAAGTGTCAATTAATTAGTATTAAAATATAAAGTTATTTTGCTTCTTTTTCAGAAACGAAATTACCCATTATGCCCCCATGTGAACATAGTACGAAAAGAAAATGTTTCTTTTCTCTGTCTTTTATTATGAAAGTTAAAAATTGGTTTAGTCAAACTTGTAAATAGTTATCTCAAGGATGAAATGCAAATATTATCAAATAAATTCTGGCACTCTCAAATGCAGTGATTCTCAAACATCCAGAATTAGATCAACTTAAGGTAGGTTGATAAGTTTGTTTCTCAAAAATGCAAAACTTCCTCATGAAAATATTTAACCACAAAACAGAGTACCATTATTGCATGTTTTACCCTGGAGATTTTCTGGGATAGAGAAGAGGTGGTAGGTTTCACGTCTAGGAGAGATGCTGTAAGGAATTCTGAAGCCAGGAATGAAGCAACAAGCTCTTCACTAGAATGAGACACTTCCTTCATGATAGCCTTCAGTGTTTTACAGTTTAAGAGCTAATTAGAAGCAGATTTAAATATACATTTCTTTATCTTAGCCTTAAAAATAAGAACAGAGTCAGCTTTTTGAGCTCTAGCCAGATGCTGATTTTGTAACCTTCGCTTTGCAGGCTAACTGCTAACAGCTCAGGATCTGAGACTTTCAAAGTTATTTTTAGGACAAATCAGTTAATGAGAAGGTACAAACTTAAGCAAAAGTGAGCAGCAGAGCAGAGGCACCCAACCCCAGGGAGAGTCTCAGATGGTAAGACAAATTGTAATTGTTTAATCCAGTTATAGACAGCAGTGAATAAAAATGAATCATTGCCAATTGCTTACCAGTCAAAACGTTTTGTTTTTTATGTATAGACAGAGAAATGCATAGAAAACGTGCACACACGATCCATGTTGAAGTGGCTTTTTCCTGTGTCTTTCATGCAGGCAGAAAACTGTTTTCGTTTCTTTCTAAAGCTTTTCCCATTCTACTGTGTTAGCTCAATACTTGTATTATATATTGAATGAAGACTGCATCTTTGTTTTGTACTAGCTTATTTGTAATGGCAAGGCCTTGAATAATCCTTCAACATTTTATAGAAGGCTCCAAGAAATCAGCACCGTCATAATTCACTCTCTCCACTACCATCACATTACCAACCTCGGGCTTCACCTCCACCAAGAATTAATAGTCAGTGTCGGGGAAAGCCTCAAATAAATCAGTTAATTTGCATTGAGGAAATTACATTAGGTTACGAGCATCTAGGGAATGACTACATCTGGGGACGGAGCAGGAGATTTTGCCAAAGACATGTCATTGTAAAGCCTGAAACTTTTAGTTGCTCCTCGGCTTGGTTTTCAAAGTAGAGTACAATAGCAGGAAAGAGGGGATGAAGAATCAAGTGGCTTAAATGAGCTGACTTTATCATTTTTTTCAAGCATGTATTTTTGTACCTTATTGTTGATAATTTACCTAGCAAGCATGTTATTGACCCAAAACTTCATCGCGGACTATTTTTCTGAAAATGTTGTTTTTTACTTTAAGGAAAAAATTATTAAAGTTATATTCTTCAAACATTTTACATTCATACAACAAGAAAAACTGATTACAGGCATTTTTGTTTTGTTTTGTTTTATGGCTACCACACAACCACTATCACTGTTGCTAAGAATGGGAACATAAGGTGCTGTGCTCTGCCACCAAGAGAAAAGAAAATTTGAAACCCTGGAGGTTTCTTCCATCAAAACTAGTAATTCTTCTCACTGCAAAAATACAGCAGAGAATGAGTGGGCAAGTAATCAAACTGAGTTTAACCAATCAACCATCTCTCTCAGAAACCGAATCATTAGGGGAGTGACTAAGACAAGCGAAAAATTAGAATTTGTTCATCCATCCTAACAATGTAGAAACAACCTAACAATCAGGACCATTGAGTCTCTACAGCTTTCTTTTTGTATCTGTTTTGAGTTTAGCTCGCTAGCCTTCATTTAAACCCTGTGAGCTACATCATGTCCACCCATTAAATACATTTTAGTTTGATTTTGCCAAAGTCACCTGGTAGTACTTGCAACCTGAGACAGAGTGCTTTGGAGACTTAAAAAAAAACTAAAAAATAAATCATCGTATGGTACTTTCAATCAAAGAGCCAGGCAGGGGTTTTGATTCTGGAGGAAATTTTTCCTTCTCCTTTATGAATTATTAACTGATGACAGCTAGGCGAGTTGGACCTGATGTGCTCACCAATCCGAGACTTTCATAAATTGAAGTGCATCTGATGATGATGATGATGGAGGTCTTCATTTAATGTGATTTAAATGGTCATTTAATGGTCAAACAGGTATAACTCTTGTCGTCAAAAGGAAAATTCTTTTGTGTCTCACATTTTTCACCTTAAAATTTATCCAGTAGGGCCAATGGATGAAAACTTGGATAGATCCATAATTTTCTTCTTGTTGTCCAACATCACCTAGAGTCATAAAACACAATTGACTTAGGGTGATCAACATAGTGCAGTAATCAAAACTCTAAACATTATTTACAATGAAATGTTATTTCCTCCCCTGGCAGAGGTCAACATTGATCAGGCTACCTGTTGCTTGGGAGGTTAGTTTCATGATCTTTTTCCTTCCTAATTTTGGTAACAACCATGTTACCTCAGCCGTTTGTGATGTTTTCCACCTAAATGCACGTGGGAGAATTGCATTTCTTGGCCCCTTTGTGACTGGATGCAACTGTGTTAATAATTCTAACCAATGAGCTGCCAGTAGGAAGTGGCATAAATCACTTACAGAACAGAATACATAGTGGTTGATACAGAACCCTCCAAAATCTCTCCTTTGAACTGGGTGAACAGCTACATTCAAGAGAGTTATTCACTTAGGTGTCTTCTGAGAAGGCACTCCTTTCCTATCCTCACTTCCCATTCCACTAACCACAAGGGAAATGTAATGGAAACAAAAAATAAACTGTTCAACTAAATTACTGATATTTTGGACTTTGACATTACACAAGGACAATGTAACCTCTCCTGACTAGAAACATGTGGCACTACTTTAGGGGCCAGGTAGAAAGCAATGGATAAATTAATATTAGACCCTGGAAAATGTCAGTTGAGCAATTTAAAAGACATTTACTTAATCAATTTGTAGCTTGAAGGGAAAAGGGAAAAAACAAAATATTATCAGTGTGTATTGGTTGCTGTTGGCTGAGTTTGGCAGGTTACTGCAGGGAAGGTGTTGTCAGAAAATAATTTCCTGGTTTTAGAACAGGAATAAGAAATCAGTAGAGTCCTAAAATTTGGGAACTTCCAGGGCTGAAAAATGCAACCACTTTTCATCACCTACTAGAAAAAATTAAACTGAGAAAGGCTTTGAGGAAACAATGACAATTAAAATTTAATTTTGTAGCAAGGATCAAATCAACAGCATAGTCCTCACGTGCATTGCGAAAACCATAAAATAAATTTAGCTAGATTTAGGACGAAGACCCCGTTGAAAATGTGGTGCCCAATTGCTTTGAATTGGACAACATGGCTGAGAGATATAAGATCAATATGCGACCTTCCCAAAAGACACAGGAATTTTTTCCCGGCCTCTATACAGGACGTGTAGCAGGAGTGCCCCATCTACTCTGCCTGCCTTGCTCAGCCCCTTGCAGGAAGGAGCGCCTAAGTGACGGAGTGCCTGAGTGAGTCAGTGCAGGATCCAGCCAGCCACTCCAAGCACCAACAAAGGAGCAAGCTCCGTGCAGAGCTCACAGCCAGACCAGACCAGGCATTTCACCTCACGGGGAATGTGGCAGCACCCAGGCAAGGATACCCATAATCCTGAAGCCTCGGGGGCCGGGGGTGTTAGTGTGCTAATTAGCTCTTTTAATTCTGCTGTACACTGCCCTCTGGACACCGGTGTGTTCCCAGCTCAGTTGGCCTCCGGCGCCATTGCATAGAGCAACTGCCCTCTGCTGGCAAGGGCAATGTGACAGCACGTTGAGGTACCCACACTCAGTGGGTCCCGAGCTCTAGTCTAGCATCCAAGAATGAGGATACGCTGACAATTGAAGAGTTAGCAAGGCAGGGAGTTTTACTGAGTAATGAAGCAGCTTTCTATAGAGAGGGAGATGCAGGGGTGGTCCCCCTACCCAAAGACAGGAAAGTTCTCCCAATTTGTCTAAGTCCTGGGCAAGTCTCGGGCTCCTATGGGCTCAGACTAGGGGAGGGGCAGGCCATAGTCTTTCATTGGAAAAGGCAACATTTGATTGGTTAAGAGGCCTTATTCGGAAAGAATCAATAGGGGAAGGGCAGGCAAACAGGAACAGAAGTTCTCACTCTGGGTAGCGGGTTTCATCTGGGACCAGAAGTCCAGTCTTTCAGTTTTTAGGCTTTTTGGGCTTGAAGGTGGAATTTCACCGGAGACCCACCCCTATCTGCCTGGAAATTGGTCTGCCTCCTGCTGCTATCACATATATGTGTTTTAAAGGTGCCCTTTGTGTGAAAAGCTCATGATGCCTAAAGTTAATTCTTGAGAAAAAATAATCAAGAATAGGAAAATCATAGAAATACAAAAAATCTTAGAGACATATCTCGAAAAGAACTGAGGATATGCCTATTACAACATGGAAATGACTGATGCCAAATTGATTACATTCTCATCACCAGAAATTTCCTGAGCCATTTGGAAATTACTACTACAAAATAACCATCAGCCTTGTTTAAAAGAAATTGTGAGGGCTCAAGACTGAAAATGACCTTTGGGTCTCCCACCACACACTGGCAAGATACATGCTGCAAACTCTGCTTAACCCCAAGAAGAACATATTTGCCAATGCCAATTTCAGATGTTATCAAAGAGTACTGTTAAAAAAAAAAAAAAGACAGATAAGATGCCACACAGCTGCCTACTACAGAGAACATGAAGTGTTTCTTAGCTGGGAGTCAGGGAACAAAATTAGGGCCTAAACTATTCCCCATCATCAGGAAAGGGCACCTTTAAAACACCTATTTGTAAATCTGCTATAGGCCAGTTATTTTACAAATAGGATTGTTTCCTGTGTTTATTCTGTTTCTGTTTCATTGTATTTTGGCTGTGTGGGTAGCAGAGAACTTGTCTTTTTTTCATTGGCCTCCAAGTCAAGAGCAAATACAGCAGAACGAATACTGAGACTATTAGTCATTCCCCCACCAGTTTTAGAATTAGATAAGACTTTGAGGTTGTATCTGTTGGGAAGAAAGCAGTGTATTTTGACTCTGAAAGAGAGACTGTATCAATTTATAATTTTGGCAAAAGGGCAAACTGTGGCAGTTGTTCATGATGTTTATCAATCGTTTCTTACTCACAATCTTCTACATAAACAGCGGCATTGCTCTACCTGGAATACTGTGATTGGGTGGACCGTGGGGCTGGCTCTGTACAGGCTGTTAGTGACTAAGGATTGGCATTTAATCTGAAATGTTCATGTAGGCACAGCTTCATCGATCTGTGTTCCTGAGTACTGTAATAAGCAGAGACTTCCTGGTGACTTGCAAACGGCATGTGACATACATGAAAATGAAAATTTTTGTTTTAATCCAAGAAGATTTAAGATTTGTTTTTTATTGCAACTCACCTAATCTAACTAATACATGTTTCTTTTGGCTTCTTGGAATTGAAACAGAGAAAAGGAAGAGGTAAATAAGTAGTAAACTTTAGCTGACCATTGTAATCACAGAATTGTACAGCCTCTGAGCATGGCTAGTGTTTAATTCTGATTTTTTCCTTTGGGGCATTTTAGGAGATTCTTTAGAAATAGCCTGATGGACTCCTCTTACACTAGCACTTTTACCTTGGGTGGCTGGCTGGTTCTGCACCCACATCAGCTTCATGTTTCCTCTGGGGCCTACCTACACAGACACTCCCTGTTGGGCACCCAACATTCTGGCAGAAGGCATTTGGAAAGATCCCATATAATAAATACCTGCATTCTCACTGGGTTTACACAGCTCATCTCTGAAGGTTTTGTACTTTTATCCACCATTACCAGGTGATCTCTTGTTCCCTAATGCATCAGTAGCTCCCTGTACACTGTGACCTTGGACTGTTCTATCCCTTAGCTACTTCATAATGTACAGATAACCCTACCAACATTTTTCCTGGAATTCCAAGGGCACCTGTGAAACCTTCAGAATTGTCTTCTTGAAGTGAGTAACTTAGAAGTGAACACTTCAGCATGTCCCTTAAAGGGGAATTAGTGAGAGTCAAATCATTTCAGCAACTATACCACAATAAAGCTCTTCTAAAATTTCTCTTCCCTTAGCCCTTTTATTGTCTCCTTTGAATATTAGAGCTGCCCAAGGAGTATTTTTTATATACTTTGAAACCATTCATACTTTTCTTTAGTAATTCTTTATCTATTCTATCTACCTCTCTCTCTCTACTATAATTGAAATCTAAGTTGGAATTTTAATTTACTATTTCCTCAAATTATAAGAGTGTCTCTCATTTATTGATCATTTAGAATGTGCTAAAAATTACACCAAACATTTTACTTTATATCTGTTATCTCTTTTAAGCTTCATAGGATCTTTCAGAACTTGAATTATTATTTCAAATTTTAGATGACAGCCCTGAGGCTTGAAGAGGTTTCGTATTAAATTGCTAAGTGTTTTCCTTGCCATTGCTGTTGTTAAGCCCTACGCTACATTAATTACTATTACGTGGCATGTGTATTACTTCATGGAAAGAAATATACGGACACAATTTGCCACATTCCTGTATGGGTTTCTATATACTTTGGATATGATTTTAAAAGAAAACAGTAAACTTAAAAGTGCGTATGGTTAACTCTGTTTTACATAAGATTAAAAATGGGATCGCTATAGTGATGAAGATCTATCACATATTTTACTTCTCTTTTTTCTTGTACTGCTGCAAAATGGAGGACATAATATATCCATATTGAGAAACAGCTATTGCAAAACTCAATGTGTTATCTCACTTTTAATTTTCTGGCAAATTTTTTAAAGTGTATATACAAATATTCTCTACGTTTTCTCTATTTTGAGAACAGCTTGAAACTTTCACTTTTCAAGAGAGACTTCCCCTCGGATTTCTCCCTGCCACCACCCACCCTTCTTTATTTCTCTTGTTCTTTTCAAGCTTGTTCTGTTCATTATCTTGTTACAATTCTTTGTTCTTAGTCAAGAGGCTCACTTACCGCACCTGTCATCCCCAATCAAACTAGAGGGCAGCACAGTAAGGGATTTCACAGGATTATACTTCTCTTTTGAATATGTGAACACTTTGGTATTAATCGTTGATCTTGCAGTTAGTATGACTGCAGGCCAGCTGGCTTCCTCTGAGCTACTTCATCAAGTACATACCAACTGACACTTGAGAAAGCTCTGAACTTTATAAATGTGTGCCTTTAAGTCTTAAGCTGCCACTTAGCCCTGCGATGAGCAATCATGCCCATTTCTCTATCCACAACATCAGCAGAGCCATCCTGAAGCAGCAACCAGTATCCCTGAAGTTAAAGTGTAATTGGCAAACACTTAGGGGAATAAATGTCTTCCATAATCGTTGCTCCGAAAACTGCTTGAAAATAGTTTGGTTGTATCTATTGCTTGCTAAGTAGAGCTCTTTCTCGTCTGTCTAGTTTTTTATTAATTTTTTAAAAATGTTGTATTTTAAAAAGTAAAGACTTCTTTTTTTTCCTATTTTATTCTTAAGACTTGCACACTGCAAAAATTCACTTTAAAATATATCTAACTTGATGTATTCCAAAGTATGCCAATATTTACATTGGTTTAAGTAATTTTTATTATAAAAATTTGAGTTCAGTTAAAAGACAATTTTTTCAGAAAGGTACATTAATAGATGGCACAAACTTAACATGTAATATTTGCATTTTATTTTTAAATTAGTTGTTTCATCTTTTGAAGAGGTATTCAAGGTCATAGCCCTAAGAAAGTTTTCAATATGTGATTGTGCTTCCATCTGTGCCTTGGAGACCACAGAAAAGAATCTTATCTCAGATTTCAATTTAAATAGCATTCTGAGCACCCCACCCTACCTTCCCTAAACCAAATAAACCCAGTCAAAGATGTTGAGAGATAAGCATCTGTCTTTTAATTTTACATAGATTGCTTTTAAGTTTAAAGATGAACTGCTGAAAATTTTATTTCAAATTTTACACACACACACACACACACACACGAGCAATGCATGGAAGAAGGAATAAGCGACACACATCCTTGCCATTTATGGTTATTACTCAGAATAACAGAGAGAAAAACGATTTTATAGAGAAAAACAACTTGGAATTGAAGGAAACTGGTGGAAGGCTAGAATCAGGGAAAGAAAAGAAGCTAAGAAAAGAAAAATCAGAACTTCTTTCTCAACCTCAGAAAAAGTGTCTTGTTTAAAACACTGTTAGGAATACTGTTATGTTATCAAAAACAAGTTGGCTTAGTATAAGAACATGGACATTTCGTGACCTACTAACCTTAATTTGTTGCTAAAATAAACAACTTTTGTCCCATAAGAAGAGCTAATTTTTATTTTCTGTATGACTATCAGATTTTCTGGATTTCATTGAGGATTTCAAATCTTGTAAAATGTAAGCCATCAAAAATTTATTTGAAAGTTATAAAATTTACTTGACAGCTGTTTTCTTTGTGTTTTCTAATTCGCATTCTCTTGCTGTTATGAAGAACACATAATGTCACCTTTAAAAACGCTGAATGTTTGGACAGACACACCATGATCTACATTTTAGAGACACTGAGTCTAAAACATGGCAGTGATTTGTATTAGAATAAGAAATACAAAAGGTTAATGAGAGCACTGAGAAGAAGGAAAATAGAGCAAGGATTACTGGCCACAAAAATCAATATAATAATCTATACTGATATCCAAAACCTGGAGAATAGGGATATTTCATTCAACTCTGGCAGGCTTTTAGTAAGAACATATTTACCCAGGAGCCATATCAAATCTATAAAAAGAATAGTAATAAAAATAGCATTATTTTTTCCTCATAGTTATACATAGAGTTGATAGTGCAATTTGGTGGTACTTGCTGTTTAAGTTTTCTTCCAAAAGAAATGTTTGCTAAAATGCCATGTGTGTCCCTCACTAAATATTTCAAAATAATTCTAGACAAAAGAATAAATGTGGTCTGCCATCATTGCTTACATTTAGGAACATATTATATTACCTTGAATAGGGTGGCTTGGAAAAGAAAGGGAAACTGAAAACAAAATGGCTCTCCAATTGAAAAGTATACACAAAATTTCCTTGAAGTTTCATTGCTTTTTATTAAGAAATGTTACAGGCTTGTCAGAAAGATAGAATATACAGGATTTGTGCATGCCTTTGGGTTTTAGGGATTCATCATTCATTACAGCAAACCATTAAATATCAACTACAATGAAATCATCTGTCTCATTCTATCTCTTTATACCAGAAAATGTGATGGTAGCAATAATAGACTTAAAAACAACTGCAGTAACTAAAAAAGGTTAAGCTCATAAGATTGAAAAACAGAAAGGTAGGCCATTTATTCATGCATTCAACATGTGTATTACAGCCTACAAACCAGAACTATTCTAGGCACTGGAAACTCAACAGTAAACAAAATAGACAAATACCCCTATTTTGAAGGGGCTTACTGTGGAGGAGGGAGCTAAGAAACAAGATAAATAAGTAAAATATATAGTTTTTTAAAAACAGACGTCACTTTAGAGCTCCTTTGTCAAAGGTCTGTTGACTATATTTCTGTGGGTCTATTTCTGGACTCTATTTCATCCCATTTATTTATTTGTCTATTCTTTTGCCAATACCACACTGTCTTGATTACTAGCTTTATAGTAAGACTTGAAGTTGTATAGTGTCAGTCTTCCAACTTTGTTCTTTTTCACTGTTGTCCTAGATCTCCTGCATCTTTTTTTTTTTTTTTTTTTTTTTGAGAGAGAGTCTCACTCTGTCACCCAGGCTGGAGTACAGTGGTGCAATCTCGGCTCACTACAACCTCTGCCTTACAGGTTCAAGCAATTCTCCTGTCTCAGCCTCCTGAGTAGCTGGGACTACAGGTGCCTGCCACCATGCCTGGCTATTTTTTTGTATATTTAATAGAGATGGGGTTTCACCAAGTTAGCCAGGATGGGCTTGATCTTATGACCTCATGATCCACCTGCCTCGGACTCCCAAAGTTCTGGGATTCCAGGCATGAGCTACCACACCCAGCCAATCTTCTGGATCTTTTAACCTCTCCATGTGAAATATATAATTAGTTTGTCAATATTGACAAAAATTGTGATGCTCTATATTTGCTTTTCTGTCTAATTTTGGGGATATTTGTTTGTCCTATAACCTCACTTCTCTTACAGACCTAACAAGAGTTGTTGATTTTTTAAGTTGTTCAGCATTTTATTGTTAGGATAGAATGGCAACCTCTAAACTTTTTATATGCCAGACCAAAATTGGCAGTCCTTCAGTTTACACTTTTACACAGTTTACAGCTTTTTAGATAATGATAAATGTTAAGAAGGAGGAAAATAGGCCATGTGTTTGGAAAATACAGGTTAATATGTTAGAGTGGTCTGAGGACACCTTATTGAGTAAAGACCTGAATAAAAGGAGAATGGAAGTCATGTAGACATCTGATGAAGGATCATTTCAAACAGAGCAGGTGTAAAGTGAGGAGGCCAGGTCAACTTTAACAGAGTGAGCAAGGGAGAGGATACTAGGAGGTAAGGTAAGAGGCAATGACCAGCCACACATGAATGACTATACAGGTCCTTCGAGGACTTTTGGATAAGATTTGTGTTGGGAGGATTTTAAGCAGAGGAGTGATATGTCTTTTGTTTGTCTTTTATTTTTTTATCTTTCAGCCACATCACTCTGCAACCTGTGTTGAGAGTAAGCAATAGGAGGAAAGAGAAGATGAAGGGAACTAGTTAGAAAGTGTCTCAGAAAACTGCCTTTTAGATTTCCAGAAGCACCTTCCACCCTTTTCACCCTTTCTCTGCCCTAGGAAGCAAACCTGTATGCACTACATCAGCAGCTTTCAGGAGAACCTAGGAGATCAGAGGGAGGCAGCAGAGTGAGATCAGAGTTTATTTTCTTTACTTTACCCCATGAGTTTGCCTACGGCAGATTATACTATTTAATATAAGTTCAGTGACACTTTCAAATCTTCTAAATTTATTCAACTATCTAACCTGGGTTTGTCACATTCTTCTCATTGGAATTAATTTCCTGTGGCTGTCATAACACAGTACCACAAACTGAATGACTTAAATAACAGAAATTTATTGTCTCACAATTTCAGATTGTGAGACAGACCAGAAGTCTGAAATCAAGGTATCAACAGGGATAGTTCCTTCTAAAGGCTCTGGAGGAAAAATTTTCCATGCTTCTCTAGATTCCTTGTAGCCTCAGCTGTTTCTTGGCTTGCAACTCCTTGGTTCTTTGTGTATTCAATTTTCTTTCCTCTGTGCATAACTATCTGTCCAAATTTCTGTTTTTCACAAGGGCACCAGTCATAATAGAGTAGAGCTCACCATAAAAGAAATCTTAACTTAGTCATCTTCAAAGACCCTACTTTCAAATAAGGTCACATTCACAGGTACCCAGGCCCAGAAATGAAAATAGCGTTGCTGTCACTACTTCCAGTTTCAGTCTCTTTATACTCATACTGAAAAGGTTTGGCTGTGTCCCCACCCAAATCTCATCCTTAATTGTAGCTCCCATAATCCCCAAATGTTGTGGGAAGGACCTGGTGGGAGGTAATTGAATTATGGGGCAGTTACTCCCATGCTGTTCTCATGATAGTGAGTTCTCACAAGATCTGATGGTTTTATAAGTGGTTTTTCCCCCTTTCCTAGGCACTTCTCCTTTCTGCTGCCTTATGAAGAAGGTGCCTTGCTTCTCCTTTGCCTTCTACCACGATTGTAACTTTCCTGAGGCCTGCCCAGTTATGCTGAACTATGAATCAATTAAACTTCTTCCCTTTATAAATTACCTAGTCTTGGGTATGTCAATATTAGCAGCATGAGAATAGACTAATAAACATACCTTTATAAAATGCCTTCATATATAAACTATCTAATTAACACGTTAGTAGGTTATTTACTTTTGAGAGCCTCATTAATTAAAATTCTACTACAGTAATATAAAAGAGAAACAATGGCAGTATGCTCCAGAATGCCGGCAATAGCAGTGATGAGGCATGGTCACCATTCTGGTTGTAATGTTAAAGATGAGTGTATTGTATTAGGGTTCTCCAGAGAAATAGAACCAATAGAATATATATATATTGGGGGAAGTATAGTATCAGGTTCTCATCTTTGATTTTGTGAATTTAGAGACTCTCATTAGTAACTAAGAGCATACATCATGGATACATGTGTTTGGAGTTTAAGGAGAGGTCTGTTGTTAAACATTTGGGAATCACTGATGTAGATAATATTTAAAGTATCAGTCTGGTTGATAATAAGATTTAAGAGATCTAACTCAGGACTGCAAAGTTCTTATGTCAGAAAAAAGAGTAGCAACCCAACACAGAGAGGAGCCATAGAAGTATAAGGAGAAGCAGGAGATTTAGGAGTCAGAAAGGAAGTGGAAAGTTGTTTCACGAAAGAGAGTGTTCAACTCTGTCAAATGCCTGCAGTGATTCAGATACAATGAGTTCTGAGAATTGAACACTGAATTTAATTAAAGTTTATGGAAATGTGAACCCTGAATATCGGAGACAGGTCTCAGTTAATTTAGAAAGTTTATTTTGCCAAGGTTGAGGACGTGTGCCTGTGATACAGCCTCAGGAGGTCCTGATGACATGTGCCCAAAGCTGTAGGGGAACAGTTTGGTTTTATACATTTTAGGGAGAGATGAGACATCAATCAATACAGGTAAAACGTACACTGATTCTGTGCAGACAGTTGGGACCACTCAGAGCCGAGGCAGAACAACATGAAGCAGGAAGGGGGCTTTCAGGTCACGGATAGGTGAGAGACAAACAGTTGCATTATTTTGAGTTTCTGATTAGCCTTTCCAAAGGAGGCAAGCAGATATGCATTTATCTCGGTAAGCAGAGGGATGGCTTTGAGTAGAAGAGAGGCAGGTTTGCCCTAAGCAGTTCCCAGCTTGACTTTTCCCTTTAGTTTAGTGACTTGAGGGCCCCCAAATTTATTTTCCTTTCACAGAAATAAGCCAGAGCTAGAAACAGGCAACACAGATTAAGTTTTCTGCATAGACTTATAAGTTACGTTACTTGAAAACTGTGGAAGTGATGTGAGAAGGATAGAAATAACTGTGTCATGTGCAGTTTACAAGAGATATCTGTCACTGTAGAGTTCAAATTATGTCATTTAAAAGTTATTTATTTACTTAACTTAGTAGTGGTTTATCCTATGAAGTGAAATTGGCTGGAGGGTGGGAGGAGTTTAATTATATTATTTTTACAAAGGTCTACATTGTTGAGAAGCTTTATAAGAAAATTGTGTGATTTAAAAAGATTTTTGCAATTAAAAATAAAAAGAGCACATTTAAAAGTTTACATGGGAGAAGAGGGAATCAACTTCCAGCCTGACAGTATGAGGCAGTCTGTCAACCTACTCCCTTGTGAAACTGGGGAAAATTATTTTTAGAACAACCATTTAATTCTACTTCTGATTAAATCCTACAGAGGTAATTCTTAGGGCAAATAGAAAATGAGAAACAATGGTAGCATGCTCTAGAATGCTTGCAATAACTGTAATGAGATTTGGTCACCATTCTGGATATAATTTTGAAGTTCAATATATTATATTAGGTTCTTCAGAGAAGTAGAATCAATAGGATAGATAAATTAGATAGATTGATAGAAACATAGACAGATTATAGATAAAGTATCTCTAGATATATATATATATATACACACACACAATATACACAGATATACTGATAGTTACATACATATGTATATATAGGTAGAAATAATATCTATAATTAGACATTATCTATAATTAGGGGATGAGCCTTTCCTTTCTACCTGGAATTCTCTGCCTCGTTTCCCTATCATTTCCTCTCAAGAGGCACATCTAACTACTGTTAGAATATGGACAATGACCATTCTTAGTTACTTCCTGCTGACAGCGGCATTGGTTTTGGGGAAATCATACTTGGATTCCTTCCAGAGGTCTATCTAAGGGTCCCTGGCAAAAGGGAGCCATCATCCAAGTCTCTGGTGCCTGACCAGTTGGAGTTTCATTGTCTCTAGGCAAGAAGAAACAAGTTTTGTAAGATTCAGTATGCATAGATCAAATATGCATATTATACGAAAAGTGGTTATAAAGGAGAAAACCTAATGCCAAGGGTTACAGAAATAATCATTCTGAAAACAACATTGTATCCCATTGTATAGAACTGAACAAAGGTAAGAACAGCAAGCGTAGGCAAGACTATAAAGGGGATATCCATGGGAAGTTAACTATTAACACATATCTTTTGTAATTTTTAGCTTGAAGTCCCTGATCTCTTTACATGGTACTTTGGGTGCTCTTCTGGGTTGACAGAGGCGACTCCATCAGCTTTCCAGGCCTTCACTTGGGTGTAATGAATTCAAGAGTCTATTGCAGTGACCTCCACTGCCATAGGAGTAGAAAGCAGAATAGGGTAAGGCCCCTCCAAGCTGGTCCTATAGAGAGGGAGAGGGAAGGAAGTAACTTTACCAGCACCAGGTCTTTTGGGTTGAACAGAGGTGGTGCTGGTTCACAGGACAGGGCCTCTGACAGTTGTATCTGTTTCTGTTGGAAATGGGCTAAAGAAGTTATATGTTTAATCAAATCAGAGGTTTCCTGGTCTAGCAAGAAATCATTGGTGAGAAAATGCTATCCATATCCATACATCATTTCAAACGATCTCAAGCCTAGCTTTAAAGGGGTGTTTCTAACACATCGTAGGGCAATGCAGGGGAGGGTTCCCAGGGGAGATAAATCTCCTGAGGTACCGTTTGATAACATTATTCATCCTTTCTACCTTTCCCAAGGATTGTGGTCTCCAAGCACAATGAAGATGGTACTGTATACTTAGTGACTTTGAGACCCCTGGGTGACAGCTGCCTTGAAGGGAAGCTGCCAAGGGATCATTATGATTCTGGAGGTACTTAGGGAGTCCAAAGAGAGGAATTGTCTCATTAATTAGTACTTTTCTCAACTCAGAGGCTTTCTCTGTCTGACATGGAAATGCTTCTACCCAGTTAGTGGAAGTGTCTATCCATAGTAGGAGTTACTGGATGACCCTGGTCTTTGGCATACTGATGAAATCCATTTGACAGTCTTTTCCCAGATAGCCTACTATCCTTTAGGTTCCTGGGGGGAAGAAGCTATACGTTAAAGGGATTATTTTTTAGGCATGTCTTGCAAGAATTAACCACCTGTTTAATCATTTGTATCAAGTTTTTACCTGAGAACAATCTCTGGGTTGATTGGTAGGTTTTATCCTTACCTAGGTGGAAGGTCTGGCAAAGGTTTTTAAGAACTTTCCATTGGTTGGCAGCTGGTAGATGATTGCCATCCTTTGATTGTAGCCAATCTGAGGACTGAAAAATATATGCCCAAGAGGTGGCCCATTCTATTTCCATGGGAGAGTGTTGAGGTTTTATTTCTCTGATGGGGCTCTCCCAGATCAGTGGGCCTTCAAGTGAATCAAAAATCTGGCGCCCTCTGACTGCTGATTTAGTTGCTTGGTCTGCCAACAGATTTCCCTCAGTTACTTCATCTATCCCTGTTTGGTGACATTTACAATGTATTACTGCCATTTCAAACTGAGGATAACAGTCTATTAATTTCCTGATGATGCTTAATGGCAGACCCATTAGCTGTAAGGAAGTTCCTCTCTTTCCAGATAATGGGATCAGCATGCAGGACTAGTAAAGCATACTTAGAATCAACATAAATGTTACCTGTTTTTTCTTTGTTTAATTTGAGTGACCTTGTGAGGGCAATTAGTTCATCTAATTGAGAACTTGTACCTGAGGAAGAGGTATACCATTAAGAGTTAACTATTGAATACCCTGCTTTATGAGTCCCTTGTTCTATAAAAGAACCTCCATCCATAAAGAGAATCCGGTCTCGGTTCTCAAAGGGATTTCTTTGAGGTCCTCTTTGGCTGCATAGGTTTGTACTACTATGTGTTCACAGACAGGTTCAAGCTCCCCATCTGACTCTGGGAGGAAAGTGGCTGGAATTAGAGAGGTACTCGTTCTTAATTGGACTACAGATCACTCTAATAGTAGAGCTTGGTACTTGAGGAAGTAATTGTCTGTTATCCAGAGATGCCATTGACAACACTCCTGCCACATTATGCAAAGTGTAAATGGTTATGCTCTTCCTTATGGCTAACTTAGTAGCTTCTGGTTCCAGCAAGGCTATTGCTGCAACTGCTCAGAGGCAGGCTAGCCATCCTTTGGATACCAAATCAAGCTCCTTACTTAAGTAGGCTACAGGCTGCTGGGCTGGACCTCAGGCTGCTGGGCTGGACCTCAGGCTGCTGGGCTTGACCTGTGTTAGAGAACCCCCAAGGCCATTTCCTTCCTTTCTGACAAATGAAGATTAAACATCTTCCCTATAGGAAGGCTAAGGGCTGGTGCCTTAAGCAAGGCTTGTTGCAGTTGGTCAAAGACCTTTCTGACCTCTGGTTCCCAACTTAGACACTGAGTTTTAGCTGCCTGAGTCTCCTTTATTAGGTGATATAAGGGACAAGGTATTTCACCATATTCATGTGTCCACAGTCTGCAGAGTCTTGTTAATGCCTAAGAATTCCCTCAGTTGCTTGAGGGTTTGGGGAAGGGGAAAGGAGAAAATGGGCCTAATCCTTTCTTCACCCAATGCCCTGGTCCCCTCTGACAAGCACAGGTCTGCATACTTCACTGACATCTGACAGAGCTGAGCTTTAAATTTTGAAGCCTCATATCCTGTTGGCCAGAAAATTAAGAAGAGCCTTACTTCCCACCTAAGAGATTTCCTCAGTTGGAGCACAGAGAAGAATGTTATCCATGTATTGTAAAACTTTATCCTGAGGATAAAGGAACTTGGAGAGGTCTCTTGATAATGCTTGCCCAAACAAGTGGGGACTATCTTGGAATCCCTGAGGTAACAGTGTCCAGGTTAACTGGGTGGTTTGGTTAAAGGGATCCTCAAATGCAGATAATTACTGGGAGTAAGGATGTAACAGTATACAGGAGGCATACTTTATGTCCAGAATTCTGAACCATTTAGTTCCCTCAGGTATTTGAGCTAGCAGGGTATACAGATTGGAAACCAATGGGTGAATTGGAACCACAGCCTCATTAATGGGTTAGAGGTCCTGAACTAGTCTCCTTTTCCTGTTGGGTTTTTTTTTTTTTTTTGCCTCCAATATCATGGTATTACAAGGGTTGTTGCAGGGTTTAAGGAGGCCATACAGCATTAAGTTATCAATGATGGCTTCTAGTCCTTTCCTAACCTCTGGTTTCAGGGGACATTGTTTCTGGATAGAAAAGGAGCTGGAATCTTTAAGGTAGATCAGACCAGTATGGCAGTTGTGGCTTGGCCAATTTTCTCCTGTATTGCCCAAACTTCTCAGTTAATAGTGGTTTCCACTAGAGGGAGACAAAGAGTTCGTCCTCAGGCCATCAGTTTGGTGGTCCCCATGTGGGCTCAGAATATCCCTGCCCAACAGAGGAGTTGGGCTTTCAGGTGTAATTAGAAAGCCATAGGTGAACAAGAGGTCTCCCAACTACAAATAAAAGGGTTATGAAAAAATATCAGGTTGAAGGCCTTCCTGAGATTTCCCCTCATGGTTGTGCTGAGATGAGAGGGGGCCCAGACTGGAGAGGAAAACTGAGACACCAGCCCTGGTGCCCTGAAGGAGGTTCACTTTCCTCCCTTTGATTTCCAGAATTACCTGGGGCTTCTGGATTGTAATGGTAATCTGGACTACCAGAGCCAGGGAGATAAACCCTATGATCCAACAGTCCTGCTGTGGAACCATTTGGGGGCATTCCTTCTTAAAGTACCCTGGCTTGCCACATCTGTAGTAGTAACAGGCACACCTCAGGAATTCTGGAGTGTTTGGGCTTGCATGGGGGCCGTAAAGCCTCTGTCTTTTTCCTGTGTCTCCTCTCTCTCCTGGGCCTCCCTATCTCTATTATAAAAGACAGGCGTGGCCACTTTCAGAAGGTTGTCTAAAGTACTATCAGGTCCCAGGACCTGCTTATGCAGCTTCCTCCTGACACCAGGGGCTACCTGAGTAATAAATTTATCCTTTAGGATTAGTTGCCCCTCAAATAATCAGGAGATAAAGAGATGTGCTTTACCAAGGCCCTCTTAGCCGTTCCAGAAAATCAGTGGGATTCTCATCCATTACCTGGTCTATCACAGAAACACTGATATAATTGAGAGGCTTAGTTCTAGTTCTGCATAAGGCCTCCACTATGCACACCTGAAAATGTCTCCTCTTCCATTCTCCCATCTTGTCATTGGGATGTCATTTAAGGTCATGCAATGATACTTTCTCTCTTCCAGTTGGATAAAGTTTGACCCCTTTCCTGACACTATATGTGATACAAAGCTCATCCCCAAATCCCTCTGCCACTTGCAGAGTGACCTGCTTTTCAGTGTTAGTCAGGATTTGATTCAAAAGTGACATAATGTCTTTCCAGGACAGTTCAAATATTTGTGTTAAATACTAGAAAGCCTCTCTATATATGTCAGGGTCATTTGAAAAGTTGCCAAGATTTTCTTAATTTTCCTTAAGTCCTGTAGAGAGAAGGGGACCTGGACCTCACTGTGGCCAAATTCACCAGGCATGACTTTGAGGGGCAAGATTGAGACTTGGGATAATCTAGGGTGAAGATTTCTAGGAGGGGGTAAGCAAGAGAGAGAAGATGGATAGAAAGGATGGGGTGGACCCAGATGAGAGCTGGAGGGAGCTGGCTCACCTGCTGGAGGGGCCTCTGGGGTTTATTTCTTCAGTTCCCTGGAATTTCCCCTTGCAGCCTGTCCCGAAGTGGCAAACAGGAGGCTGGATCCATCGTACACTGTCAGGAAAGGTATGGATTACCCTGCAAGATTAAAAAAAAAAAAGCCTGCACATATGAGGCCTCAGACCATTTGCCTTCATATTTACATAAAAAGTCCAACTGCAGAATATCGAAATGAATAGTTTCTTCCTGAGGCCAACCCAGTCCTCCCCACAGATCATAATTTGCCAAACCTTTGTGCAGAAGACTATAAGCCATCTTTTCCCCCATTCAGAGTCTCAGCGTCAAAACAGTTGCAGTGATTCAGGATACCCTCCAGAGGAGTATAGACTGGGGTAGTGAAGACAGCTGGTTGCCCATTCTGAAAGGAAGAAAAATAAGCACCCTTCATTTCCCTTCCTTCTTTCAGCAGAAACTTGGTGTGTGAAGGAGACAGAAAGCAGGCATCCTCACTTTCTCTTCCATCTTTGTATCTCTGTGACCTGACGACCTTTGATGGATGCCAACCACGGGTGCCATTGAGGCCTGCACTCATGAAACAAGGAAGGCCTAGAGAATAGGAATTGTGCCTGGGTCCATTCAGATTAAGCCCCCAATAGGCCCTGCCAAACTTGCAGTTATTAGCCAGTGGAGGCTCTCTCCTCTGTTGCCTCCATATCATAAGCATAGTGCCAAGGTAGGAAAAGAACCCACTTACATAAAAAAGGGAAAAGGGAAATAAAACAGCTTAAGGGGAAAAAGAAGGAGGTTTGCAAATGGGTTCCTTTAATCACTGTATCTGTCCCCCAGTTTGAACCAAGTTGAATTACTTGGTCAGGGGAGGAAAGACTCTATGGGTACCTAGCTGGAGGGGATGGCAAACAGGGTGCGCTGGCCAGCCAGATGCCTGGGGTCCCTGGCCACTAAGGCTGCCCTGGGGCTGGTGCGCAGCTCACCCACCACCCCCACTGGGCACCAAAAACACAATCAGCAAACATGCTCAGGTGCGCCAGTCTGGAGGGGAGGGGATGAGGAGGGGAGCCACTGTGGGCAGCCTGCACCTGCGGCTGTTTGTATTGGGGTGGGTGGGGATGGCCCCTCTAAGAACAAATGGAAATCACATTGTTTTGAATGGCATATCTGATTGCTGAGGCAAGCGCTCTTTCTACTTAATAACATTTTGCAGTCTATATCAAAACGTTAACATTATAAAAGTAGATATAGGAGCCATTTAAACCATAAAAGAAGACAGGAAAGATAACTAGAGAAAAGTCTGGGGGTCTTAACTGATGCTTTGACAGGCAGGTGGTCAGGAACTGGGTTCAGTCTGGGACCTTCCAGCAACACCAAGGAGTGGCCCTGCCCAGATGCCTTCAGTTGTCCCAGGACTCTTCCATCATCCCAGCTCAGCAAGGCAGAGACTACACTCCAGATAGCTGCATCCAAGAACACTGGGCTTCCGTTCTCCCCAGCTCCTAGCCAAGAGCTTTGTTCCCTGGAGAAGCAAGACTTTAACATTTCTCAAACTGCCTCCAGCTCTCTGCTGCTGAGGCTAAGTCCAGTGCATCTGGGAATATGATGTCTAAGCACATCTTTTTAATGATAAACCCATTTCACGTTAAGCCTACAAAAAAATTATCATTTATTTTCTCTGTTCATTTTCTCAAAACATAGAACGTTGTATCCTTATAACGGCATTCACAAGTATAAAAGGCTCAGTTAGGCAGTTGACTTAAACAAGAACATGTTCTCATGTATAAATAATGTGTGGTTAATGTGATTCAGTAACATATACTTTTTATATAAAAATGTTACTATGGCTACACTAGGAACAGTGTAAATGTAAAATTCATTTTTAAAAGCATAAAGTATCTGTTTCAGAAAATCAATCAGTATAACACATTAAAGCAAGATTTTAAATCGTGTTTTTCAAACTACATTTCTAAGCCTTTTTCACCCTCTCACAAATATTACCCAGTCTATCTCCATTACAGCCCCCATCAGTTGCTGTTTACTTTGGTCAACACTGCAGTATATACAAACGTCTTTCTCCTGAGGAATCTCATCTTGCATTCTTTGCTACTCCCTAATTCTTTTTACCTAACTACTTTTCAACTTCACTAGAAAATGTTTGCTTTTTATTTTCATGTGATTCTTCAAATACTTACAAACTTAGTATATCATTCAAACTCTGTTATTTATGGAAGTTGAGTTAGGTAACTATATCTAATTACCAGATGTCCTAAGAAAGAGCATTTCAATGTGAAATGAAGATACTAGTATGTATAGACCAGAAGATTGTCATTTCAGGTTATTTAGAAATATGCTATGCCATGTTCTATGAGGTAGATAGAATATATTAATTCAACAAATACTTACTGAGCATCTATGCTGTGCTGTGCATGCTTACTAAACTAAGCAGTGGAATTATATTAGTGAGTAAGGTAAGAGTGGTCACCACTCTCTTAGAGGCCAGAAAATTAAATATATATACATTCTTCATCATTGACATGTACTGAAATGGAGGTTCAGAGAGGATATGTGGGTTAATTTATTTAAAGTTAGTCTATCACTGGTGGTAAAATTTTGTTTCACTCACCTCAAAGTTTGTTTTCAAAAAATTCTTATTTGTTACCCTATTTTAGTGAAAGCTCTTTGTCTGTATCAATAGATAACCAGAACGGTTTGAAATTAAGAACTATTATTTTTAGGCAATGTTTACAAAATCAGCAAAGGTTAATTACTAACATGGAAAAGCAGGGTCTTTCATTTGAATGTGTTTTCCTGCTTATGAGCTTTGAGGTATTGATCAAGCTATTTAACTCTTCTCAAATCTGTTTCCTCATCTATATAAAAGGAAAGTAGTAACATGCACTTCATAGGTTAGTATGATCAGCATTATAATATACTGAAAGAACTTAGCAGAGTCAATGATTAAGGGATACTAGTAAATATTCTGTTCCATTTTAACATATATATATTTATTTATAGGTATATATAAATATATATGATTTTCCATTTTATATAATTTACATATATGTGTATGTATATGTATATATGTGTGTGTGTATGTATATAAATATATATATATATATAAGTGAAAGCCTTCATTCACTTTGTTTTCTCCCCATTGGCTGTAATAAAACTGTGAGAGAAAGATAAATGGGTCACAAATATGTTCACATTCCAGTCCCCAGAGCCTGTGGATATGTTACCTCAAATAGCAAAAGGAACTTTGTGTGATTCTACAGATCTTGAGATGGGGAGATTATACTGGATTACCTGGCATGTCTGCCCAGTTTAATCACAAGAGTCCTTATAAGAGGGTGTCAGGATGGTCCAAGTCAGAATAAGGAGATGTGATGACAGAGGATTATGTCAGGGTGATGTCATTGCTGGAAGATGGCTATGAGCCAAGGAATTTGGATAGCCTCTAGAAGCAAAGACGTTTTTCCTCCAGAGCCTCCAGAAAGAACACAGCTCTATTGGCAATTTGATTTTAGTCTCACAGACCTGTTGTTAGGCTTCTGACCTATTTTAAGACAATAAATTTTAGTTGTTTTAAGCCACAAAGTTTGTGATAATTTATTCGAGCTGCTATGGAAAACTCCTAATAAAATAAGCAAGCAAATCGAATGAGGCTTTAAAGAGAGCCAAAGTCTGATTAATTGTTGAAGAAAGGAAACAGGCAAGCACAAGCTGAGAGAAGCCCCTCCTAGGCAAAGATAATTTGAGTTTCTCATATTCTTATCAAAAAGGACCTCTAGCCATGCTCTTACTATCATTCAATTTACTTGGTTACAATGGGGTTTCACAAGTTAAAGATTGTCTTAATGAAAGTAAAAATTGGAGGGTGGAGCAAGATGGCCATATAGGAACAGCTCAGGATTGCAGCTCCCAGTGAAAGCAGAGCGCAAATAGATGCCGCATTTCCAGACGGATCTTTATTGCCCACAGACCAGCAGATGCCCAGGCAGAGGAGCCCCACGGGTCACCAGTGTGGCTGTTTTGGCTGGTGCGGCAGTTTTGCCAATGCCCCGGCACAGCACCTCTCTGTACAAAATACACTGGTCTGGTTGCCCTTTTAAGCTGGCAATTGGAGCTCTGGGAAGGCAGATTAGCCCATTCATCTGATTAAATGGTACTGAAATAGAGAGCCAGGCCAGGAGATTCCTGGGCAGAAAAAAGCACCACGAATCTCAGTGCTGTTGTTTCAGCCAGCACAGTGGGTTGCTACAAGGGAAATGACACACATCCCGGTGCCCTTTCAGTACCCAACTGGAACACTTGGGAGAGAGTCAACCATTCAACTTAAAAAAAAAAAAAAAAGGGCTCTGAGGCAGGGAGCCAGGTCATCAGGCTAGGCGGGTCCCACCGCCACAAAAACAAACAAACAAACAGCAATTGGAAACAGTCGGGGTTGAGAGTTTCACAGCAAGCACAGCTGAACCCTGGAAGGTCCAGCTCAGTGGGGGAGGGGCGTCTGCCATTACTGAAGCACTCCATCCCTATGGAGGTAGTCCACCATTGCTGAAGCAGCCAGCCATTGCCGAGGCAACCTGCCATAATGGAGAGAGTCTGCCATTAAAAAGACAGGCCACCACAGCCAAGGCAGTTCTAACCACACCCATATAAACAGGGCTACAGGGAAGTTCATACAGAAGCAGGGCGGAGCCCACAGCAGCTCAGCAAAGCCTCTGCAGGCAGACACTGACTAGACTGCTTCCTTGCTGGTCAGGGCAGCCCTGAAAAAAGAAGGCAGCAGCACAAGGGAAACTCATAAATAAAGCCCTAAATCCCCGGGACAGAGCACCTGGAAAAAAAAAAAGGGGGGGGATGTTTATGAGTTCTGCTGCAGCAGACTTAAACGTACCTGCCTAGCAGCTCTGAATAAACAATGGAGGTTGCAGCTCAGCACTTGAGCTCCTATAAAGGACAGACTGTCTCCTCAAGCAGCTCCCAGACCCCCATATATCCAAAGAGTCACCTCACAAAGGACTGATCAGACTGACGTTTGGCAGGCATCATTCTGGGACAAAGATAGCAGAAGATGAAACTGTAGCAACCCTTACTGTTCTGCAGCTGCTGCAGGTAATCCCCAGGCAAGCAGGGCCTGGAGTGCACCTCAGCAGTCCTACAGAAGAAGAGCCAGACTATTAGAAGGAAACTAAGAAACAGAAATAACTTCATCATCAACAATCTGGACATCCACGAGGACCCAATCTGAGAGTCAGCAACTACACAGATGACAGGTGGATAAATCCACAAAGATGGGAAGAAACCAGTGTGAAAAGGAGGAAAACACCCGAAACCAGAACACCTCTCCTCCTGCAAGGGATCACAACTCCTCACCAGCAAGGGAACAAAGCTGGATGGAGAATG